CTAGCTGAAAATGGAAGCAGGGATCTGCAGTTTACTACAAAACTAAGACGTAAATACTCCCTCATTCAAATGCTCACTTCAAAAGAGCCAAGTAGGAAGTTCTATACCATAAGTAGTATTATCCTGGCTGTAACTTGAAGATGGAGACGAGTAGACGGACAAGAGGACTGATTTGTTGAGACCAGCTTTCAATATGCTAAATCCAATTGGAGGGCTTGGTGTATGGCGTACAATTGCTGAGAAGGAAAATAGCACCTCAAAACCATGATTATGGATAGCACAGAAACAAGCAAGCAAGGCTATCTCCAAGAAGTCCCAACAGCTTTCCGACCTAAGGAGACCTGCAATAATTCATGCACAGAGCTGATCAGTGAGAACCCTTTCCAACCCCTGTTTGTCTTTGATCTAACTTCAGAGTAAAATGATGAAAAGTGAATGTAGCCTATAACTTGGAAACTACAGAAAGAGAAGCGTACCTAACTGAAATAGAATTTCTCTGCTCACAGAGCCTTCTCGCTTTAAGAAGTTTGACACCAGGTCGATCTCAAGAATGTAGAGAAGTGCAAAATGTACTTCGCATAGAAGAATCAACGATTTGCGTATCTTTCTGTTGATGCTGTGGCTCAGTAGATACATAAGGAAGAATACCACTGAAAGATAAGTCCATTATGAAATATTATCAAACTCCCAGTTTAATGAATCCTTACTATAAAAGCAAATAGGAAGGGAACAACATACCATACACGGCATGGAAAAAGCCAGGTTTCATGGCAATGAGGAAAATCAGTACGAGCATAATAGCCCGTGAACATTTCCGCAATCCCCAAGCAATAGTGGCGACGACCAACACCTTTGTTTCTTCATCAGCTGTAACGGAGGATACTCTCAGCCATTAAGAAGAGTTCTCAAATTGAATAAAAAGTATAAGACTGAAATTGCTACTTAAAATAAGCACGAAACTAATTTTTTGCCAAAGAAAATAAGAATCACACAGCAGATACATATTTTCCATGATTTTGATATTTCAAAATTTCTTTAAAACATATTTTGAATAGAGTGGTAGCTCTTAAAATGTCTTGGATGTTTTCAGGTCACAATGCATAAAACATGGTAGGTTGACCGCGATAAACTAGCCAACCCATTTTTCAAGATAACTTGCTTTACAGAAGCATACGTAAGGCCACTACCTTCATCATAAGATCTCTCGTTGGAAGATCTGGAGCTCTCTTCGGAAAGGTAAAGAAAAACAGAGTTGTTCACAAGATTACCCAGCGCAACCAACATCCCCAAACCAAATTGTGCAAGCAAAAAGAACCCAGGTATAGTGTAATGCCAAAGTCCCACCATCTCCCAAATTTTCATGTCCTGCATATATACGACACTGGTTAAATTGACATCTTAATTCTTTAGAATGGTTGAATTTTGCACATAGCGAAGATATTACCTTTCCAACCTTCGTGTTGAGAAAAGAAAATGCCACATTGAATATGTACGTACTGACAGCCCATAAGAGTATAAATACGAGAAGAAGGCCATTTAGTCTATGCAAGCGAAACAACGACGGGAAGGCATAGATGATGTAACCAACATATGCAAGGAGGCCAAAAGCACACAAACTCGCGAAATGAAAACTCCAGAACGAAAGAGCAAACAGGGAGACCTGGCAATCATGGAAGCAAATAAAAAGAGAGTGAGTTTCTGGAACCAATACGTTGCTTGAGCTGACACATATGCTTTGATACCAGGAAGACAGATATATACCGGAAAACCATATGTGAAGAAATTGATACTGAAAGTCTTAAACACAGCTCCCCTCAGTAAAACATTGGTGTGCCTTACACCGGCCCTGAAAATTTGGAAACAGTTAACACATTAAGTTGAGCGTAACTATTTTACAGTAATAAAGCGCAGCCGAGAGAACATCCATTAGAATGTGTGAACTAGCTGTACTCTGTACGAAGGTAATATTCCATATTTTGTAGCGTCAGTCCCTTGAATACCCAAATCCAAAGAGTTTTAAAGTTTTGGGGGCTTTTTCATAACTCAAAATAGTTCCACTAAATACAGTAAGGGTTCTACCAACTTCTCATTTTTCAACTAAAATCCTTGTAAACAGCCTAGGGATCACCAGAAAGTTACATGATTCTTTCACTAATCCCATAGCCATGGATTATAGTTCTATGAACTGAAGACAGGAGAGTATCTACTATCTACCAGTCTACATGTGAGCAGATTAAAAATTTCCTTTCAACGCTGAAACCTGTGTCAAAACACCACAACAACTCCCTGTAGAAATTTTTAAAAAAGAAATCTACACAGCATACCTTGATTCTCGAATAAAAAATGAATATTTTGGAGGAAGAAGCCGTTCTGCCAAGTTATCTTCACTCGTGGACATGATAAAGTCCATATCTTCGAGGTCTGACCTCACATAGGATAGCTGCAATATCAGAAAGACAGGCATGTCGGATTATTGCAGATATGTTGATATCATAGCTCGGGAACAGGTCAAGACGGATAAGTCAATAAACTAGAAGGAAAAAGTACACTGGTTCATACCAAACAACCCAAACACGGTTAACATATATTTTGAGAAACAGTTGATCAATTATCTGGTTGAGAAATACAAGGTTTTATTGGAACTCCGAGAATAGCTATCATCTTTTACACTTGTGCGTGAGCAAGCAATACTAATCCTAGAAAGAAAAAAAGACATACCATGATGTAGAACACCACAAGGAAAAGACCAGAACAAATATCAGGGCCTTCAGTTTCCGCAGAGATTCTGAATAGACCTATAAAGCTTGCTATCCATCGAACCATATCGGAAAAGTTTATTGGTAATTGGTAGAGGTAAAGCAGGACAATGTTGAATCCTGCATAGATATAAAGAACTCTCCACCACCTAAACCATACAAAAACAACAACTGCAGTTCAGAGAGGCAGGGTTGGGGAGCGCTAACTTTGCATTAATAATCAATCATTTCTCCACCTGAAGAGTCCTGAAACGTTGCTTGTCAAGGACCAGTCCACAAGACCAGCACAGCTGCCAATAAAAAATGGCAAAGAAACCCATGATGGATTGCAGATTCCCACTGCCAATTGAACTGCTGGTAACAACAAGCATGAGGCAACCCTAAGATGACTTCCTGAGTCATAAACGATTGAGATAGTGTCAAAACAGAAAGACAAAATGGTACCAGATAGAAGTGCTTATTCTTCTTAATATAGACATTACTCAACCAGGCGAACACAAAATGAGAAAAAGGTAACAGTATCTGACAAGTCGTACGGGCCTAGTACATTAACTACAAACCTAGCTGTTCGAAAATCCCTGAAAAGTTAGACCACCATGTGTCCCGCCATCGAACCAAGCCGAATCTACTACTGTATATGTCAGCTAAAGCAACTAGCAATATTAGTAGTTGTAAAGCCAAGAAATACATAACAGTGGGGTTTCTCCAAGACTTTAATCTGCAAAACCAACCACGAGAGAGTATTAACGATCTATAAGGCAGTAAGAAGAATCAATGAATGAGAGTAACACTTACACCATAAAGCCAATAACGGTCATCCAGCCAGTGCCTGCTGTATCCCAGTCTTGACCTACAGCAGCCCAAATGACAAGGTATACCACTTGAGCAACAAGGACCGCAAAGGAAAAGATGCAAATGGGCCATAATAGCCAATGCCTCCTCTGAAAACGGTATCCTGGAAAAGGAAAGCAGGAAACAGCCATGTCAAAACATATGTTCCAGGCATAAACTAGATGAACCCTTTCGACCTTGCCCCAAAACGAAGATCTATTACAAGCTGTTTATCAGGTCAGAGACAAGAAACCTGGAATAGAGGGAAAAGAGTCTTACCAATTTCAGGTGCAATATAGTGAACGAGGAGGAAAGCAATCAAATCAACAAAGGATATCACACTCCAATTAATAAGGGCAGCTGTGACACAAGAGAGAAAATTCATCAGGAAAAGAGAAGCTCTGACACGTAAAGGTATGATAGCACACCACTCAAATGCAAAGCAGTAATAGGAAGGAAGTGATATAAAAAAGTGGAGGACAAGGAATGGTGGAGATACTGACAGAAAATCACTAGGCTCGTTTAGATTAGGTCTTAAATAAAGCAAAAAGGTGGGTGATTGCTCATATCCTTGGCACCTTGAAGCTTGATACACAGTAGCTAGAGCCTAAGAGGTATACAATGTTCAAGTGTAGTGAAAGCTCAAGGTCTCAGACCAACAGGACTCTGCTGATTTTTGGGTCAGAGAGGCAAAAACATTACCGGGTAGCAACAGCCAACAGCAATAGCAATAGCAGAGTTAGGGGTTTGTGCACCTCGTTTATCTAAATCCTCAACCATTTTGGGTTGTAAATTGTAACAAGATAGAGAATCCCACCTGCCAGAAGTAGCGAGGGCAACAAGAAGCCGACCAAAAAACTCGCCATGAGAAGAGCCTCTTGTCTTAACGATCATCATATCCCAAATCTCATCGAATTCAATAGATCCCTCTATCCACCTCCGACTTCAATTTCTTCAGATATCTGCCCACTCGGGTCTCGCCGGAGACTAATCAAAATTCCAATTTTGAAATCAAAATTCCAACGACAAGTTCAAATCTTTCCCGAAAAGGTAGCTGCTGAAGTGGGCGGAAGATGAATATCGCGTGAATTTGAAGGTGGATTGAAATGTATGAATTGGAAACTGGAAATCCAAATCCAGAAGCTAGAGGGAATCACAAGAAAATATCTTTCGGGCAATAATTTTATATTTAGCGCCTTTCAGCAAACCATGTACACGTTTATACGTACATACGCGTAGATACATACACCCCAGAAATCACTAAACCAATCCAAACCGACGGTTCAAGCTTCGTACAGCTACAGCACACACAATTCGGTTAACATTGCGCCGGTTCGATATATTCGTTCAATCGACAAATCAAAAATCCAGTTGAGTTCCTTATTCCTTATCGCCAGAGAATTGGATTGGAAGATGCGGTGGTGCTTAATCTCTCCGTCGATAGCTCCTCCGCCCAGCTCCAGTCTCAGTTATGGGTTTGGCCGTCGAAGATTCAGTTCTGCAATTACAAGTTTCCGAATTTACGCGACTGCTGACGGAGTGGAAGCTCCGGAGGAACCCAAGGAGGAACACAGACTCGAATCGGAATCTCCTTCCCCTTCCCCTTCCTCGTCGTCGTCGCCTTCTGCACTCGGTAAAGACTTGAAAAAGGTGCCATTTTTCTTCTTCTTTCTTTCAAAATTTACAAGCAATGAAGAAGAAGCAGAAGAAGCTAAGGACTTTACAATTGAAGCAGGTAGTTAACAAGACGGCAGCAACGTTTGCTCCGAGGGCGTCCACAGCAAGCAAAAACCCAGCTGTCCCTGGAACGACTCTATACAAAGTGTTTGAGGTTCAAGCATATGCATCAATGTTGGTGGGAGGGATCCTTTCTTTCAACCTCCTCTTTCCCTCTGACGAACCTGACATATGGAGGTTGATGGGCATGTGGTCCATTTGGATGTTCAGTAAGATTCAACCTTTCTTTTTCCCCGGCTCTGCTCAGCTAATCTTCTTATTACCTTTTCATTCTCCTAATTCAGCTATTCCTTCTCTTCGAGCACGAGACTGTCCAAGTAAAGAGAAAGAGGCTCTTAACTATCTTTTCCTCATCGTCCCGTTACTCAATGTTGCTATCCCCTTCTTTTGGAAATCCTTTGCTCTTGTCTGGTCTGCTGATACACTTGCCTTCTTTGCCATGTATGCCTGGAAGGTATGTTTTGGACATGCTCATGCTCATTATTGGGCTCGGCGTTTCTTTGCTATGTATGCCTCACATTTTTGTTTTTCCTTTCACTACAGCTTGGATGGCTGGAAAAAACAGAGTAGAGATACTCGTGAGGAGTTAAAAGAGAATGGAGATTCTTTGTCTTATCTTCCTTTGTTTCAGCTTGCTGTGGGTGTGGGTGAGTAGAGCATGTCTCATATAGCCTATCGTGCCAGGTAGGTACGTGGAAACGAATCTGAACATTGCTCTACAAAAACAATATTAGCAAGCCCCTTGAGGAATATTCTTGTATAAATCACTTAGAGTTCTGTCTGATCTGAGATGAATTTTTCGACTACATATACGTTTTTTCTTATAAAGAATACAGCTGGTATAATATTCTATAAAAAGGTATAAAAGAATCAAGAGAGTATATGGATAACTCATTGCATCCCAATGTATGTTGCTTCTTCTGGTAATCAACAGAGAAAGCAAGATAGAAGAAGGAGCTTCTTCTATGCTAAGCTTTTTCTCATCTTCTCGAGTGTGCTCTCGATAAAAGCATCTGATTTCTTATTTATGTCATTTAGAAGGGGCCTTAGACCTCTATGAGGCTGCGGTGGTTTCCCTGCTTCAGGCTGACTTGTTTGTTGCTTAGGGCTCGGCTCACTCTGCATGCTCTTCTTCCCCTTGTCATGTAACCTCTTCTTTGGGCCGTTACTACCATTAGCCACTGTGATCACTCTCTCTCTCCCTGATTCTTGGCTTGAAGAGCCTGGGGAGTTGTTCTTGTTATCCTCCGAGTCTTCTATTTGCTTAAAATGAATGGTGATATCAGACCTTGATCCCTTCTTGATCAGTTTGTTCCTCTCACGTTTATCTTCATTCATCTCCTTCTCTCCCAAGAAGATCCCTAGTTTTGCCACCACAAATCTAAGCAGCCGCCGGCAAATGCCCGGAGACCGCTGAGAGCTGCTGCTGTCATCATCCTCTCTTCTACGCATTCTCTGTCAAGAAGAAGACAAAAGAACCAGGAAAGGGTTTTATTTCCTCTATTGGATCCTTGTGTCAGAGGAGTGGTTTTGGTGTATATGAAGAAATGAATAGGACATCGGTTTGCTTTGATTCTACGCTTGTGAGATGGAGAAATTGAACCAGTGGAAGCTATATGTTTCTGTCGTTTTATTCATTAAAAACCAAAAGTAAATTAAGAAAACAGAATCTCTGGTTTCTTCTTCATACTCTGTTGCTTTACTCTGAAAAGCAGCTGCAGGAATATTTGTGTATTAGGCAAACTTGATCAACCTTTGTTTTTGATCGAAACTGAAGAGCTTTAAAAACTTTGGCTTATTTATTTTCATTCAATTATAAAAAAAGTTATGTGCAATAGTTATCTGTGAATCATGTAATGACAGTTGATGTACACTAATGTGTATTTAATCTATTTGATTAAGTTAACAAAAAGATTAACAAAAAACCCACCAAACAAACACAAGTACACAACCAAGGAAACCAAAAGACTTGTGTGAAAGAAACAAGGGAAAAGAAAGATCCGTAGAGAACGTGCGTGACATGACACCTTCCGACTCAGCTCACTCCGATCTCCGGCGAAGAGGATTCACGAACAGCCACCGACTTGGCTGATGATAGGAGACGCAGCCTCTGGACGCGCGGAGGCAGATGCTTGGCTGGTTTTCTTGACAGTGGCGGTGTCCACGGCAAGAAAACTCCAGTGCCGGCGTCTAGCCTCTTGGGAGGCGGAGCTAGGATCACCAATGGAGCTCTGACCACTCCGTATGGGGGAGGTGGTCGCCATAGGGTTGGCGGCAGCTGGACCTTACCGGAGACCGGTTTGAGTTTGAAGAAGGTGATAGCGACTCTTTTGTTGGGGGATGGACACATGACGTGCCTAGCCATATCGGCGCTGTTACCTCTCATCACAAGCAACGACCTGACACGTATTCATTATACATTTATACGCTTCTACTTGTGAGATTAATTAAAACGGATACATAGAATCATGGTAGAAGATTTAAGTACCCTTGCTTGAGAGGGAGAGTGAGTGAGCCTCTGAAGTTGCCATCATTGTCGACCCCGAGCCTGTGTCCAAAGACCATGGTTGATTCAGACAAGACAAGAGTGGAGATGGGTTGATCCACGTGAGGTGGCTTCTGGAATGGTTGGGAGTGTTCCTCCTAGGCGTAAATGAAGCTTAGATGGGAGTCGGATCAAGAGAAATGATCAGTTAATGAAAGTAAAGTACCTCGTCAAAGAAGTTGATGACACAGCCATTGGGTCGTTTGTATTCGGGAATCACGCGCCACTGAAGGAGATGATCGATCACACTTTGAAGAAGGCTTGGGATAGGTGCCACTGCAAGCAAGCGAGAGCTGGTCAGCACTAGTTTCTACAAAATCAAAAACAAGCCACTGTTGTTACTCTTACACTGTTACCTACCTGAGTGTTCATCCCCGAAAATGGGAATTCCAAGCTGAATAAGCTCTCTCTTGGTTCCTGTAGTACTGTTCTTGTTGAAGAGAACAAAGGTGTCCCCTGAAAGTTGATGGTTCCGACCAGCCTCACGGAGCACATTCACAGAATCCAGAAGCTTGGAGAGTTGAGTTCCAGTGAAGACATGCTCGTACAGTTTTAGCCCCTTGACAACATTGGTCTGCCACAAGCAACAACAAAGCAGTCCTTTTTTAGTCTTGGATGGAAACAACCAATGAAAGCCTAATTAACTTCACTCATCATCACAAGATTAGTTATTTTTAGTATTAATGAAAACCTATAATATATGCTACATCAGTGATACTAATGAAAACCTATCAGACCTCTCAGCCTCAGATAATGGTATCAAGTGTCCCCAGGAGTGGAAGGAAACTTGCCGTGTGTCCTCTGACATGTTCCTTTGCCGAGAAACGCTTTGACTGCTTCACCCCTGACTCGCATTCTTCCTCGTGCTTCCAGCATATCCTCATCACCCCCTCTTCTTCTCCACTTCCTTCACATCACATATGTACAACAGCATTTTATTATTGTCAAGCGCGGTAAACTTCGAATCATAATCCAACACGTGTAACGGTGTAAGGTGAGGATGAAGAAAAAGACTTCACGACTGTTTTGTTCATCTACAGTACTGTTGTAATAACCAACTTTTCTTTTCCAACACATAAATAGAAAAATCGAAATATTTATATGAACCGTGATCATAAAGAAATCCTACTTTTTTCTCACCTACCAAACAGATTCAATAAGAAAGAATCGTGGCATGGTTGAAGATTGAACAAGTTTCCAGTTTATATAATGTATAATTTCTAATTACCGGAATCTGTGATATCGCTAGTTGGGGAATCATCGTCGATTTCTGCATTCTGCACAATGCCTTTGTCGAGCCTCTTGGCCGTCGCTGTCTGTAGCTCGAGCGTGACCTCAGAGATTGAATGGTATTTCTGCATCTGGAGCACTGGGATCCAGTTGAGCCGCCGCCGATGAACCGCTGCCATCACACCCTCGTATTCCGCCGCCGATCCGTTCCCCTCCATTAGGTGCCCGCACAGCGCATCGATGATGGCGTTGGCCGCCGCGAACTCTCCGCGAAACCAGCTGATCATCATGTCTTTCGCCGCCGAATCGGACAATAGCACCGGAGCTGGAACAGATCGCTTTGTCGGAGATGCCGACGTTTCAGCCATCGAAGGAGATCGCCGGAAACGTTTTGGGGTTTTGGGTTTTAGCCTTTAGGATCGCCGGAAACTCTGTTTGATGACACTAGAAACTAGAAAGCGTCGCCTATTTATTGGCACTCGGAAACAAATATTTAACTCTCTGTATATGTTGCATGAAATAATATTATCATCATTTTAAAATTACATAACCATTCAGATAAATAATTTATTTTGGATGAAACAGAATGAGTGGGGCCCAAGGACGAACAAGTCTGACTCAGCCTTTCGCTTGCCGGAAAAGCCAAAACGAACCGTTTCACCTGCTCGGCTACGCTTTAGGCTCCTCCACGAAATATCTCTTCCTAGATTTGATACCATCGTTACTTCACAAGGGTTGACTTATATTATAAGTTTATAAGTATATTTATAACAAACTAAACATAATTAATTGCTAACGACGGACACTAATTACATCATGAATCATACCCCACCCCGTGCCCTGACATATACAAAATAATTTAAAGGGTCCCAAACCATTTTTTGTCTGGAAGATTCGCCTTCTTTGTCTTGTGTCTCTTTCTTTCTTCTGGTTTTAACTTGATAACCTATACTATAACATGTTTCATTTTTACTAATCAGTATATCGTTCTATTAAGCAGTAAGCGATCTACGACTTGGTGATTTTTTTCTTAGTTTAGTGATCATATAGTAGAAAAGTCCGACTTCTCTGCGTTTTCCACGTGTGCATATACGTAAAATAAACTATTCTTTTCTGTTTATAAGTACCAATTTTTCTTTTATACTACTGTATAAATAAGGATAATAGGTTTGAGGTCACTGATTTGTTCGTTATTTTCGTGCTTGCCTTTTGTAAGAGCGTTGACTGTCCTTTATAACAAAAATAAAAATAAAACGTTGACGGTAGCAAATAATCAGACAAATTAAACTACAAAAAGCAACATTGATTAATTAGATAATTGCGAGTGAAAACGTTTTCACACCTCACAACTAAAGTAATTATAAAAGGACCAACGAATGAGTTAGGTGAACCCTATCACGTCACCGTCCACTGTCCTCGCTTACACAGTGTCGACGATCGCATTCGCAGCAAATGCAATTCCGATATTTTATGGTAAATATGAACAATTTGCACTTAAACTCTATCCTGTCACTTAGTGATAAAAACAACCACAAAGATATCTTGGACAGTTGCATGTTTTTTCTCTCATAATTATCTATAACTGTTTTGTAATCATTTAATCAAACGCTTGAAGAATGCATAGTCTTTTTATATTTTACACATACTTCGTTTACATGGCTCCCAAGTCTAGTAAACTCCAACGGGATCCTGACATGTTGCAGATCTTCTCCATATATAACATCTCCATTCTGGAGTCACTTTTTGTTATTTCGAGTAGCAAAATGGCCGATCACGAGATTCATTGTATTGAGTTTAGTATTATTAAAAGTCTTATCACTTATATATACTTTATATTAATTAGAGCATTACATATTATGCATCTCAGCATCTGAAGTCAAACTTGACTCTTGATCGTGGACAAGGGACTTTCTCCGTTTTCGTAGACATAAACATCAAATTAGTATTTCTCCCAACTTTGAATTTCTTACATTTCTCGTAGGGTTTCGAATGAAAAGATGTTGGGGATACAACATGCATTAGATGATTTATGTTGGATACAACATTCGTTTATGATGTCAGAGTTTTCAAATTAAGAAAACACTCATCTTTCTCCAACAACAGATGAAACAGCTTTGTGATTAAAAAAAAAAAACACTCGCATAGAAGAAAAAATTGTAAAATTTGGTGTTTAGCAACTATCGAGATACATTTTTGGGACTATAAAATAAAAACACGATAGAGACGAATAAGTTTGAGTTTTTGAAAGACTAGTCATCCAAATACTATACGAATACATATCTAACGTTTACATATTAAAGTTTCGGTCTAGTTTATGTGAAAAATCGTGTTAAAGGACAGGATTTGAGTAAAATCCTTAAATAAGACAAAGGAAATATCAGCAGCAGAATCTGCCCTTTTAGGTAAGAGGACAATTAATGTCATGAGCGTTGGCATTAATTAAATTAAATAGAGGACAATTAAAAAACAGTTATCGTTTGAAATTGAATATTCAGTACAGATCATGTTACTTACGACAACAAACTTCTGAACAGCCCATTCAGAGCCGATCGGAGTATTATATCACCGCATTAACGATCGTGCATGTCATCTCGTTATACCAAGCTTAATTTGTCATTATTATATTGTTGTCGTTATCTTAATAAGAAAAATCATATATCAAAGTAAATAGACTTGGTTTGGTAGAGTGGAGGAGGTACACACGCTCATAAGCCTTAATACGACCTTATTCGATGGGCCTTAATTACTTACCATCTAATACGACCTCTAACAAGAAGTAACAAGTATTTTTTTCTCTCTTCTTCAAATGATCGATATTATATATTTTTTTCATTAATACAACATATCCAATTATCCATACTTCTCAACAGAATCAAACCGCAACATATTTATTCATTATAATCGATATCTTATATTATACCGAGCAAGCCAATATTATTCGTAGGTATTCATCAATCTTTGAAAGACTCGTATGTTGGGTTAGCACGAGGGATAGTGGAAGAGGATCTGAGCTTCATCTTCGCCTTTTTTATGTACTCTGAGAAATGATCTGATCTCCCACTGCTACTCTCTCTCGATACCCGAGAGATAGCGACATGGTGGTGATGATGATGATGATGATGATGATGATCAAGTGTCTCTGTCTCACTTGTCTCCGATGCATCGTTCCTCATCATATCACCCAGATTCGTCATTGCCCTTATCTTCAGCTTCGCTTTCTTTATATATTCGGTGAACCTCTCGTCCGTTTTCACGGTCGTCTCCACTCGAGTGACCACCGTCTTCCTCGGTTCGATCTTTGTAGTCAACGTCTCTGAGAGTTTGACGTGTACAGCTGGGTGGTTCGGCGGCCAAGGTTTGGCGGAGTTTCGGCGAACAGTTCGGACAGGACTCGTTACTGCTCTGAAGATTTTCTCACACACTCTGTTCTCTTGCTTCTTCTCCTCATTCTTTGCCATCAAGCTTAATTAGGCAAGTAAAGAAGTCGATCGAGAGTGATATGTGCGGCGAAGATTGTGACATTAACGAGCGTTTTATAATGCAAAAAAAACATTGATTATTAAAAGTATTATCTTTGTCGACGGCAGAATAACGTGTTTCGAAAGGAACAACATGCAACGAGCTAGAGAAGAAATTTATATTCTCATTGTTGAAATGAGGAAAGGTGGAAGGAAACTTTAACAAGTTTTTCAAAAAAGGAAGAGGAGGGATCGTATTCTGATTCCACTCTGTTTCTTTCTTCGTCATTAGTTTTTATTTTTAAACAGAAATATGAGAATCAGCCGTTGTCACGAGGAAGATAATTATATAAGCACATTAATACAGTAGATTCTCAAAATTAGGTCACTTTCCATTAGCTTTTGCTTTGCTAAACATTCGTCTATCCACGGATATGCTCTCCTATTTGTTATTTGTGACCATAATCACATATTCACGTGTTTGTAACTTTATGCTTTATATATAATATTCACTTATCACTGGTTCTCGTGTCATACTACGTACGTGAAGACGCAGAAGAAGCATACATGCTAATTAAAATGGTATTATGATATGTTCTTCTTGGCAGCATGAGTTGGTTAAATATCAAAGAAAATTAGTCATTTCACGAACTTGCGCGCTGAATCTTGTGATCATTGATTAATTTTTGTTGGCATTTCTTCGGATCCCTTACATGTTGAAAGGAAATTATAATCTTATTACTTAGCATTTGAATTTGAGCATAGCCAGGAGAAGAAACAGGCCTCAGTGATGCGGATAGTGCAGCCTAGAGTTGACCATCTGTGGAAACTGAGTCTGTCTTAACGGGAAATACGAGGGGGACTGTGGTGGAGCTGACCGGAACATACCAGCAGTGTACGGGGGTGGTGGTTGGGCTTCACCGAAATAGGGAGGAGGGTATGGGATGGGTGTCTGGAAGCCAGGCACTGCTTGAGGAGGAGGATACACCCTTGGAGGCGTAACAGCGTTGTTGATGAAGGGGGCGTTTTGAACCCATGATCCTCGATAAGGCTCGACCTTGGCCTTACTGATTCGCTTCCCAAAACACCTAAGGAGAAAGCACTTTGTTGGCCTCTTCTTCTTCTTCTTCGTCTTCTCCATTGTCATGCTCAGCTGGTCGTGTTCCGGGGGGGCAGGGGCAGAGGCGCCTTCAAGAACAGAGACAAGCTCTGCTTTTTTGCCCCATTTGGTAAGCTTACGAAGCAGCGTCGCTGGGTTGGGGTCACCTGAGACTGTCAGGAGCCCTTGTTCTGCGTTATACTCTACCGCACTCACCCCTGTTTCCATTCCAAAACACAACAAATACATATATATATATATCTATATCTATGTTAGCGCTGAAAAAACTGAGCAAACTTAACAAGGAACGATTTGGGTTTTAGGTCTTGGACTCATCACCAGAGACACTGAGCAACTTTCTCTTGGCATTTGTCTGGCAACCTTTGCAACACTTGATTCCAACTCTCAGAACGCAAGTCTGCAGTTATCACACACACAAAACTCGTCAACAAGGAGATTGCAAATTAAAACCGAGATAGAGAGAGAGAGAGAGAGAGAGAGAGAGAGAGAGAGAGAGAGAGAGAGAGAGAGAGAGAGAGAGAGAGAGAGAGAGAGAGAGAGAGAGAGAGAGAGAGAGAGAGAGAGAGAGAGAGAGAGAGAGAGAGAGAGAGAGAGAGAGAGAGAGAGAGAGAGAGAGAGAGAGAGAGAGAGAGAGAGAGAGAGAGAGAGAGAGAGAGAGAGAGAGAGAGAGAGAGAGAGAGAGAGAGAGAAGAGAGAGAGAGAGAGAGAGAGAGAGAGAGAGAGAAGAGAGAGAGAGAGAAGAGAGAGAGAGAGAGAGAGAGAGAGAGAGAGAGAGAGAGAGAGAGAAGAGAGAGAGAGAGAAGAGAGAGAGAGAGAGAGAGAGAGAGAGAGAGAGAGAGAAGAGAGAGAGAGAGAGAGAGAGAGAGAGAGAGAGAGAGAGAGAGAGAGAGAGAGAGAGAGAGAGAGAGAGAGAGAGAGAGAGGAGAGAGAGAGAGAGAGAGAGAGAGAGAGAGAGAGAGAGAGAGAGAGAGAGAGAGAGAGAAGAGAGAGAGAGAGAGAGAGAAGAGAGAGAGAGAGAGAAGAGAAGAGAGAGAGAGAGAGAGAGAGAAAGAGAAGAGAGAGAGAGGAGAGAGAGAGAGAGAGAGAGAGAGAGAGAGAGAAGAGAGAGAAGAGAGAGAAGAGAGAGAGAGAGAGAGAGAGAGAGAGAGAGAGAGAGAGAGAGAGTGTGTGTGTGCTCGGACGGGTGGAGTTGGGTTTGCCATTGAAAAATCACCTCAACAACGGAGAAGAAGATGATGACTGGTGTTTATATAATAATGGGAATATTGCTGGAAATGAAATTGGTGTATATTCTGGTTTCCATATTCTCGTGATAAGCAATTAATTGCCATCTTCTTATCATAGCTGCTGATGATTACAGAAAAGGCAAGTATAGATACATTCCACCCTATAGAGATATTATACTGTCTTGGTTGGTAATCAAAAGTAATCTCCTTTTTTTTCTGCAGCAATCATGGAGGATTTGGAGTTTCCGGTAAGGGAAGATTCTTACTTGTTTTGAGTTGTATACTCTTCTGAGTGATGACAGAGAGATCATGTTCCTTTCTCTGCAGATTTGCATACTGAGAATGAATCTCGAGTGTTGCCCAGACTTGCCCTCTCGGGTCAAGAAGCTTTTGCGAAAAGTCAAGGGTACCATCTCTCAATTTCCCTTGTGAATTGTGAAATTGTGCTTCTTCTGATTGATTTTGGCTTTTGGCTTCTGTGCAGGAGTTTACGCCATAACCATAGTCCCGGCCAAGGGTCTGATTTTGGTCTCCGGCACAGCAGAGCCTCTGGTGCTTGTCCAAGCGCTCGAACGAATCGGGCAAAGTCCGCAAATTTACGCCTACGAGAAGGACCCAACTAAGGCTAAGACCCGATTCCGCGCCTTGCTCAAGCGTTACGCCGCCGAGAAGCGCCGAGACGAACCACCGTCCACAGCCGCCGCCGGAACTTGCCCAGTGGGAGGAGAAGCATATAGAGTTTTCGGGCAATCGGGACCGCCGAGGATGCCGATGTTTACGTTGCCGCCGACGACGGGTCCGCCGGGATGGTTAGCGCCGGGGACGGGACCGGGGGTGATGGTGAGGTACGAGCAGCCGAAGGTGACGACGAGGAAGCCGCCGGCGCCTTATCCCTTCGATTTCTACGAGAGCAAGGGTTTCCCAGCAACCGACTCCCTTTTCCGCTACTTCAGCGACGACCACGCTCAGCCCTGCACCATCATGTGATTGAGTGATTCATAGATGGGCTTTTTGGTTATTTGTAATATTCCAAAGACTATGGTTGTTATTTTCATATTATTAGAGGTCCGATGTTGCAATATAAATAAATATACTATTAAAAAAAAGTGACCGACCGACCCTTGTTCTTCCTTGTCCTCCTCCTTCCTTCTTCTGTTTTGTTCTCAGCCGAAAACCCCAGGCGGTAACGTTTCAACTTTCAACCTTCAACCTTCAACCTTGACGTCGTTGTTAGTCACCGAGTCGCTTTGATTTCCATGGGTCCTCAGTTGTTTTCTCGGAAAACTCCCAAGATAAGGTTCGCTCTTTTCGACCCTATTTCCCCAGTTTTTGCGTCATAATTTTCTGGGGAAACTATTCCCAGTTCTTGTGATATTCCTCTGGTAACTGTAGTTGGTTTCGAGCGAAGAATCACTTGGTATGACAAATTTGGAATTCAGTTTGTTTGGTCATGGAATTGAATTTTGGGAATCGGACCCTGCAGGCACAGATGCGTAGCGTGCTACAAGATGTTCAATAGACGCCTACACCTTGTTGAGCACATGAAGATTTCGCACCATTCAGTTCATCAGCCTCGCTGTGCGGTTTGCCTGAAGCACTGTAAATCCTTCGAGTCCGTCCGGGAACACCTTAACGGTATGATGATGGCTCATATATATATATATATATGATTGTTTTTCCCAAATGAATGGATGTTCATATGACTCATGTTGTTGTTTGGAACCGACCATTTGGACAATGTCAGTTCCGGACCATCTATCCAAAGGAGACTGCAAAGCCATTTTCTCGAAACGAGGCTGTAGTCTGTGTCTTCAAGTCTTTGAGGAAGCCACTAGTCTCGCAGAGCATCAAAACATGTGTCACCTCTCTTCACCTCCTCCTCTTGTAAGTTGACTAGTTATAGGAATATAGCATCATATCATAATCAGACTGCCTATAAGTTGGGCTACTTGTCTGTGTATCTAGATTGCACTGCCTCTTTACTCCTACTCTCATCTCATCTCATCTCATCTGATTTGTGCTTGCTTCTGACATGTCAGGGAACAGCTAGGCAAGGGATTGAGGCCAATGCCTCTAGGCTAACACGTCTCAAGGCAGTGGCAATTGACTGTGAAATGGTTGGTGCTGGTGATGACGGGTCCATTGATGTGTGCGCATCCATTTGTGTGGTTGATGAAGACGAGAACGTGATCCTTTCCACTCACGTACAACCGCAAGTCCCTGTCACCAGTTACAGGTTCTGCTTTTGCTACCTTGTTTATCATTCTTCCTTGTACTTGTTATGGAAACCATCATCACATCACTCCATCCGGCCAATGTTGTTCAGGCACGAGGTAACTGGATTGACGGAAGAAGATTTGAAGAATGGTATGCCACTTCAGGAGGTACGAGAAAAAGTCTTAGCCATCTTGTGCCATGGACATTATGATGGGGCCGGGAGGCTTCTTCTTGTTGGTCATGACCTCAGGCATGATCTCAGTTGCTTAAAACTCCAATATCCTAGCCATTTGTTGAGGTACACCAAACACCCAAACTCAAATTTCTCTCTCTCTCTCTCTCCTGTTATTACTAATAATATCCTTCCTTTGCTTCACCTCAGAGACACAGCAAAATACGTGCCGTTGCTGAAGACGAATCTTGTAAGCCAATCGCTCAGGTACCTCACAAGGTCATATCTCGGGTAAGTGTTATCCTTGGGCTTGAGAGTTTTTCTCCTGTTTGGGTTGCTAGAACATGGAACAATGGATAGAGCCTGTTTTGTTTTTGTATCCATGTGCAGATACAAGATCCAATCCGACAAGCACGAGCCTTACGAGGACTGTGTAGCTGCGATGAGACTGTACAAGAGAATGCGAGATCAAGAGCATGGAAAGGCACAAGGAAATGGTCTCAACTCGTGGAAACAGAGCGATCTAGAGAAGATGGGGCCAGAAGAGCTCTACCACAAGTCCGCATCAGACTACCCTTGCTGGTGCCTCGACCGTTGAACTTGGACTCTTTAAAACCTCCTCCGATGTATAACTCCTTTTTTCTGTTTCATGGGAAGGATTAAGGAAGAAGACTAATTACTTGTTGTTTTTGGTTTTGGATAATCAAATTTGCTTTGGCTTCGACACCTGAGCTCCTACTTAGCTTCCTAGAAATGTTTTTTTTTCTTTCTGTTATTCATTCAAATATAGGTGTTTATTAATTAGTATCTTATTCTTATATACATACGAACATAAAATAATTTTTCTTAAAGAAAAAACTTGAAGTATAGAAGTCTCAATCACATTTTCTCCTAGAGGGAGAATCGTCAATCGTGTGATAAAAAAAAAAAAAAAAAATGATATAAATTGGTCATGGAATAAGACTAAGAGAAGCAAAATTGAGACGCGAGAAGACTTGCCGACGTCCATGGCCGTCGCTCCGCCGGATTCCCTAGAGTGTCTGTGGGACTCGGTTACGTCGTCGATTAGGTCAGCTGAGGAGATGAACCTCGATCCGCTTCACTGGGCTCTTCAGCTTCGCCTGACCCTCGCCTCTTCTGGAATCTCCCTGCCCTCACCGGACCTCACTCGCTTCCTCGTCTCCCACATGTTCTGGGAAAATCACACTCCTCTTTCCTGGAAGCTCCTCGACCAAGCTATAACCGTCAATATCATCCCTCCCCTACTTGTCCTCGCCCTTCTCTCCCCCAGGTAACGCTTTTATTTCTATCTCTTCGCATTCATGGATTCATCTTTAGGATTATGATTATCACACTCTCTATTGCTTTCTTCTGATTGCTCTCGTAATCGTAATAGCATTTGACTCTTGGAAAATGTTTAAGTTTGGTTCTGGAAATGGAGATATTCCTTTACTTGGCTATGGCTAAGGCTAAGGCTAATGCTCCCTCCGGCTTACGATTGGAATCCTCTTAGTGCTACTCGTTAATCTATCTTTTTCTAGAGTCTAACCATCATCTTAGTATTTTTCTTGTTATTTTTTCAAGCCTTTTAACTATTTTTGGTTGGAAATTTAGGGTAATCCCAAACAGAAAGCTTCATCCTGCAGCTTATAGGCTCTATATGGAACTCCTCAAGAGACATGCATTCTCGCTCATGCCTCAAATCAGAGGATCAGGATATCACATGTGAGTTCCTTATCTCAATTCCTGTTGGTTTGTCGATATTACCTAGCTCTAGTTACTTTTTTTCTTTCCCCGAGGGCACTGTGACTTAAATATACAGGCCTTTATATGAGTAACCATAATGCTATTTTTTCTTTGATTACAACTCTCTTCTTTTACGTTTGTTCTAAAATGCATATTGCTTACGACTTTGAAGTTTTTATATGAACAGGACAATGAGTTCCATCGATGATATCCTCCATCTTTCTGAAATCTTTGGTCTACATGATCAAGAACCCGGAACTATTCTCCTTGCATTTGTCTTCTCCATTGTCTGGCAGCTAGTCGATGCATCACTAGACGAGGAAGGGCTTTTAGAACTAACATGTAATAAGACGTCTAAATGGCCAAGCGGGCCACACGACATGGAAATAGACGGCCTGGAAAATTCTCTCAAGAGAAATGACAACCATCATGTACTAGAGAAAGCAAACACTCAACTGGCTATCGAGCTAATCCTAGATTTTTTGCACAATAAAGTATCATCGAGGATTCTTCACTTGGCTAGCCTAAACATGTAAGGCCTTTTAACTGCACCTGTTATTTTTCTGTTACTAGTCTGATTGGTAACATTGCGGACACTGCTGGCCGGATGAGCTTATATATTTTTGCAAATGAATTGAAATGTAACAACTTCTTCACATCTTTCTCAACCAACCCCTCTAAGTTTCCTTTCTCTTCAGGCCAACACACTGGGAAGATTTCAGCCAGCGTCTTAGAGTGCTGGCAACCAAATCAGTGGCAGTGAGGAACTCAAAACATATTAATCCAGAAGCCCTTACACAGTTGGGATCCCATACCCGTAAACTTCTGGAAAGGGAGAGCAAGACCATCCCACGAGGAGAGTTTCATGCTATTGTCTCAGCTAGTTCTAAGTTAGCATTGACTAGTCAGCATCATGGGGCTAGTGAGTCTGCACTTTGGTTGCCCATTGATCTTTTCTTTGAAGATATAATGGATGGGACACAAGCTGCAGCGGCCAGCGCTGTCGAAAATCTAACTGGTGCTAGTAGATTTATCTCTATTGTTGTTCTTGCATTTATCCTCGTAATTATCTACATACTTATTATTACGGGATTTATTCGAACATAAGCAAATATTTGCAGGTCTTGTAAAAGCACTGCAGGCAGCTTATAGTACAACATGGCATGATGCCTTTCTAGCTCTATGGCTGGCAGCCTTACGCCTTGTGCAAAGGGTAAATAACTATTCTGACACTACTAAGAATTTAAGCCCTTAGCAATAGGGTAGGTTGTTCTTGTCTTGGTGTTTCTAGGAGAATCAATGTTTGCGTGATTGCTATTTCATGCATATGATGTAATAATACCTAAAGCACCTTCTGTTCCACATAATAACTTATGCATGATTCATAATTAGAAGGTCATATAATGAGAATCTCGCGCCTTGTGTTTTTAATTGACCGATATGCTGTAACTTGAAGGAAAGAGATCCAATCGAGGGTCCTGTGCCTCGTACCGACACTTTTCTTTGTGTGTTACTATCCGTCACTCCACTTGCAGTTGCCAACATCATTGAAGAAGAAGAAAGTCAGTGGATTGATCAAAGTACATCTTGCCCAAACAACCAGTGGAAAGAGAAGAAAGGAAAATGTCGACAGGGATTAGTCAATAGCTTACAACAACTTGGTGATTACGAAAGCTTGCTGGCACCACCTCTTTCTGTACAGTCGGTTGCCAATCAAGCTGCGGCCAAAGCAGTTATGTTCAATTCCGGCATTACAAATGGTAATGGATCTCATGAAAATACAACCATGAACGAGTCTCCAAGTGGCTGCTGTAAGTAAACTTGCCATCTAATCTCTCAAGGTTAAACTGCGCCAGCTTTCTCGTTTTGGATTGTTACCAAGAGTGCAATTTTCCTTATTTACGGTGAAGATGTTTTTTTTTTTGGTGTGCATCTGCTCTGCTTTTATTTGTCGTTTTGACGGCTTCAGGTTGTTCATTGGGGTTGTTTGTTAGCACTCTCTCTAGTCCCATGCTCGTTAGCTAGACTTCAAACTCATCATTTTGTACTTTTAACTGTCTGCTTGAATGTGACTGGTTTTGAAATGTGTTGGCACAGCTGGTAACATGCGCCATCTGGTAGTGGAAGCTTGTATCTCCAGAAATCTGTTGGACACATCTGCATATCTCTGGCCAGGGTTCGTAAATGGGGGAATCAATCAAGTTCCTCAAGGCATCGCTGGAAATACTTCTTGTTGGTCTCTAGTGATGAAGGGTTCTCCTCTAACACCATCCTTGACAAATTCGTTAATCACAACTCCAGCTTCTAGGTATGTTAATTCTATGATCGATCTCTGTTTATGTTACTCTTTAGGTCAGTGGTTAAAAAGGGGCATTAGTAGGAAAACATAATTCTAGCTGTGCATGATTTTTTTATTACCAATTTCAATAAGTAGAGCCTGGTTTTAGTTGACTATCGTCTGTTTCCAAGACTCCGTTAGTGGATCTCGCCTTTGTTTAACGTCCCCGGTTGTAAGGCAACTGAAATTAAGCTCATTAATATGATGCAAGCTTAGCAGAGATCGAAAAGATGTACGAGGTTGCAACTACTGGTACAGAAGATGAGAAGATAGCCGCGGCTTCTATTCTCTGTGGAGCATCTTTGTTTCGTGGTTGGAGCATACAGGTATGTTTGGCATTTAGATTCTGTTTCTGTGATCTGCATTTGTTAGAAAGTTTTATTGCTGTGCAGCCCCCATTGCTCCAGTCAGATGTTCTTTCTGAAGCCCCTCATCTTTTATGCTTAACCCCATCTCTAATTAATTTCAGGAGCATGTTATTATCTTCATTGTAACTTTACTCTCTCCTCCAGCTCCAGCTGATCTTTCTGGGGGTTATGGCCATCTAATCAGTTCTGCCCCGTTTCTTAATGTTCTTCTTGTTGGGATATCACCCATAGATTGTGTTCAGATTTTCTCATTGCACGGTGTGGTAGGTTTTGGTGACTATAACCTCTTTTCTGCTCTTTAACTTATGTTATCTGACAATAAATGAGAATGTACTGTTCGATGGGTTAGTACTTATGGTGTTCTTTGGGCAGGTCCCATTGCTTGCTGGTGCTTTGATGCCAATCTGTGAAGCATTTGGCTCTGGTATTCCGAACATAACATGGACTCTCCCAACTGGCGAAGTAATCTCCTCTCATGCTGTTTTCTCCACTGCATTTATACTTCTTCTAAGGTTATGGAGATTTGATCATCCACCACTAGATTATGTCTTGGGAGATGTTCCGCCGGTGGGCCCTCAACCAAGCCCTGAGTATCTTTTGTTAGTGAGAAATTGCCGTCTAAAATGTTTTGGAAAGTCCCCAAAGGATCGAATGGCACGTCGAAGATTTTCAAAAGTCATAAATATCTCTGTGGATCCCATCTTCATGGATTCGTTCCCTAGACTCAAACAGTGGTATCGGCAGCATCAGGAATGCATGGCTTCAATTCTCTCTGAACTCAAGACAGGAAGCACAGTCCATCACATTGTTGATTCCCTCCTCAGCATGATGTGCAAGAAGGCAAATAAAGGTGGTAGTCAGTCACTGACTCCATCTTCAGGGAGCAGTAGTTTATCTACTTCCGGGGTGGATGACTCTTCTGATCAACTCAAGTTACCTGCATGGGATATCTTGGAAGCGGCCCCGTTTGTGTTGGATGCTGCTCTTACTGCCTGTGCTCACGGATCACTCTCCCCCCGGGAACTAGCAACAGGTTTGTCCATCCCTTGAAACTAAAGAAATTGACACCCTAGTGAAACCAATTTGGGGAAGGGGATACTTATCTACATCTGAGAGTCAGTATATTACAAGCTATTTTATCGTCAACTGTCTGGATGCATCATAAACGCTTTCGAAAAGGCAGCTAATAGTGGGGTGGGCGTGAGCTAAAACTGTCTACTTGATTTGTTTCAGGTCTTAAAATCCTGGCCGATTTTCTGCCAGCAACACTAGGAACCATGGTTAGCTACTTTTCTTCAGAAGTAACAAGAGGTCTGTGGAAGCCAGTTTCCATGAACGGATCTGACTGGCCTAGTCCTGCAGCAAATTTAGCAAGCGTTGAGCAGCAGATAGAGAAGATCTTAGCAGCTACTGGTGTTGACGTCCCAAGGCTTCCAGCAGGTAATGGTCATGGCAGTCCCTGACAACATTTCTCTGGAGGGTCTTGCTTAGACTTGTAAACAAATATCATATTTGTAAAACTACAATTGCAGAGAAAGAAAGTGTGGATATAACACGCTGGAACAAGTGATAAACTCTAATTGCTCATACACGTGTGTCTTTGCAGATGGAATCTCTGCAGCTACACTTCCCTTGCCTCTCGCTGCACTAGTCAGCCTCACTATAACCTACAAGCTCGAAAAAGCAACAGACCGCTTTCTTGTACTTGTCGGACCGGCCTTGGACTCCCTTGCTGCCGCTTGCCCCTGGCCGTGCATGCCGATTGTGACCTCGCTGTGGACCCAGAAAGTGAAACGCTGGAGCGACTTTCTCATCTTCTCAGCCTCCAGAACTGTGTTCCACCACAACAGGGATGCTGTTATTCAGCTCCTCAGAAGCTGCTTCACTTGCACTCTTGGTCTAACGCCTACCTCGCAGCTGTGCAGCTATGGGGGAGTGGGCGCACTCCTTGGCCATGGGTTTGGCTCTGTTTACTCTGGTGGAATCTCCACAGCTGCACCAGGAATCTTGTACATAAAAGTGCACCGATCAATCAGAGATGTCATGTTCCTGACAGAAGAAATCCTCTCGCTTCTGATGTTCTCTGTGAAGAGCATCACCACGAGGGAGCTACCAAAAGAGCAAGCGGAGAAACTGAAAAGAACGAAAGATGGGTCCAAGTACGGGACTGGGCAGGTTTCACTCTCTGTGGCGATGACACGTGTCAAGCTGGCAGCTTCCCTGGGAGCCTCTCTGGTGTGGATATCCGGTGGGCTGAACCTGGTCCAGGCTCTGATCAAGGAGACGTTACCATCTTGGTTCATCTCAGTTCACGGGGAAGAGGAGGAGCTGGGAGGTATGGTTCCGATGCTAAGAGGGTATGCTTTGGCATACTTTGCAATCTTGAGCAGTGCATTCGCTTGGGGAGTGGACTCCTCATCGCCTGCCTCAAAACGTCGGCCAAGGGTTCTGTGGCTGCATTTGGAGTTCCTGGTGAGTGCCTTGGAAGGGAAGATATCACTGGGTTGCGATTGGGCAACATGGCAAGCTTATGTGACCGGCTTCGTGAGCCTGATGGTGCAATGCACGCCGGCTTGGGTGCTAGAGGTGGATGTGGAAGTGATTAAGAGACTAAGCAAAAGTCTGAGGCAGTGGAACGAGCAAGAATTGGCTCTCGCTCTTCTCTCTGCGGGCGGCCTTGGGACTATGGGTGCAGCGACCGAACTCATTGTCGAAACTTGCCATTGACGACTATTTTTTGTTTCTCGGCTTATATATATCTAACCATAAATAAACTGTGATCGTCTTGTCTTCTCTTTCTATTTTCCTCAGATTAGCGTGTCTATATATATTATGATATGTTATACTGTATCAAATTTAGAGTAACATCATCATTGCATTTACCAATTGCGTCACACCATTCGAATTTCGAACCACACTGGGCGGACAACATTTCCAGATTTCAGGTGGTGGTGTTTAAGACATTATCCACTACGAGGGGGGTCGAATTTGTGAAATTTGAAACAAAGGGGAGTAAGTGTGAAGAGAAACATTATCCCTACGGGCCTACCTACAGAGGGAGATACAGCAGTATTCGAAAACTAATAGACGACGACGACGACGACTCGGAGCTCGACTATGGTGGCGACGTTGCTGGCGCTAACGTGCGCATCTCCTCTGTTTAGTCCTCGGCCTGTTTCAGCCAGGGTAGCCTTGAAGACTAGAGAGCCCTCGATTTCTACAGGTCAGTTTCCGAATAACATTGTTCTCTTGTTCCGTTTCGTCTACTAAATCGTTTGAATTCCTCAGCTAAATTCGTAAGAAGATGCTCGGGAAAAGATGGAGAAGAAGAAGTGCTTCTAGAAGGAATGCCACCGGAGTATTATGATGATGTTCGTCTCCCAGTCCCTCCCTTGTTTTTATCTTTAAATCTGCATTTTACTAAGTCGAGTCGATGATAGGGTTTTGGTTTTGATTTTGATTTCAGGAATGGCAAGCTCGACAGAGAGAGAAGACGAAAGAATTGCGGCGGATGCAGCGGGAGGAAGAAGAAGAAGAGGAAAGAAAGATTGAAGAGTACCGTGAAATCGGCACGAGGTTGAAGGAATTTCCTGAGCAAGACTTGAGGAAAGCTCGAAAGCTCGTCTCCAGCTTCATCACAGCTGCCGAGGAAGTCGAAGAGGTAAAAACAGTAGTACCCTTAGAGAAATTAAGAAAGTCATCTCTCTTCAAGTCTGATTTGATTACTGGAGAGAATTTGTGTGTGTAGAGAATTGAACAAGCAGCTGAGAAAGGACAACTGGACGAGCTTGTTCTCATGATCATATGGAACCGGCTTGACCTTGCTCGGCGCGATGTAAGATTTGTTCATGAAATCTTGTATAACCAGGCATATTCGAGCGATGCTGTGTACGTCTTCACTTGTGTGCTGTGTTATTTTCAGGATGAGAAGGACGCCATAAGAAGTCTCGATCTCTTATATAGAAGAGTTGAGGTACGTGTTTACTATCACCATCTTCAAACTTGCAACATGTTATACACTCGTATATATGGCCTAGGCTACTCCTTTATGATCGTTTTAGCCGGCTACTTAGGGTGTGTATATCATCTCTATTTGGCATGTCCAGACAGAGATCTTAAAACGGCAAGCAAGTCCTGCGATGAAACTGCTGAATGATCTTCTGAACATGCATGATGGCTTTGGAGACGATGCTTGGTTGAAAGACTGCAGAAAACGGATGGCTGAAACATTCCCACGAGAAGATCCCTTCAGCATTCTAATGCCACCAGGATTCGACATTGATATGGTGCGTCCCTTTTCTTTTTTCAACAAGAATCAATCGCATTGCATAACACACGCTGTGTTTGCAGCATCAAGGACTATTACGACCGCCAATTGAGACGGACAACACCCTTCTCAGAGTAGACTTTGTAAGAGAAGTGGATGCATTGCTACAGGAAGTGAGAATAGAGGAAGACGAGGAAGCTGGTAAGGAAGGACAAGGGCTTGACCCTGAAGCTATAGCAATTAAGTTGAAGCAGCAGGAGAAGAAGCGAACCATCTCTCAAGTTGAAGCCATTCTTGATTTGGCCCTCAACTTGAAGTGTTAGTGGTAGGTAACATGAATATCATCTACAGTCGTCTTTATAGTTATAGTCATAGACGACTCGCTAGACTGATACATCTTGTTTTCAAATATGTTAATTAGAAATTAATGAATCTGAGAATACGACGTTTCTTCAAAAATTTCCAAATAAAAAATTGCTTCCAAGAGAGACCATCTCTTTCTCCGTCCAAGTAAGTGATCTGGACAGTAGAAGTAGAACAGAAGCTTGACTTCAGAAATCAGAATGTCGGTGTACAACTCACTTAAAGGTGTCTGTGCTTGAGACTCTTGGTCAAACGCAGTCGTATATCTTAAATAGGCCCATTATTTGGCTTGGGCCTCAACTCAGAAATATAAATGCGAGTTTTTTTTTTCCAAGTAGACACACAGGCAGTGGTTGGGTCACACGAGTCACGAGCATCTACGTGTGACCTGATTCACAGAAACGGAAAGTGTTAACCTACGCATCAAAGGCGCATGTTAACAGGACCATTCAACAATAATATCACCAGTTTTGTTTTTATTTTTCTTTCTTTCCCCCTTTTTGTTTTTGTAGGTTCGTGTGTGAATCCCCTTCTTCCACAAAAGCGAAACAATCCACAACAAATCGTCTTCTTCTCTCCTTGGCCTCGATTAGGGTTTACGGGGTCACCGTCTCGCTAACCCACTACTTTCGATTGGTCCTCGGGGTTTCAATGCCTGCGAGTTCATCTGGGGAATCCCTCACCGAAAACCCTAGATACTCCCAATCTGCCCCTTTTCGCCTCCGATTCTTGCTTTACTTCGAGACTTAGAATCGCTTTTTTCCCCCCAGTTTGCTTTTACCTTCTTTCTGATGGCTCCCAGCCGCAGGAAAGGCGGTGGTAAGGCTGCCGCCGTAGCTGCCGCCTGTCGACAGTGGAAGGTGGGCGACCTTGTGCTTGCCAAAGTCAAAGGTTTTCCTGCTTGGCCTGCCGCGGTATGTGCTTTCCTGCCTCCCTGTTAATCTGTTGCATATTCATTCTTCAATTTTCTCTTTCGCGTTTGCTTCTGTATGGATGGCTTATTAGTTTTCCGATCTATGTAGGGCGTATATTTGCACATGTTTGTTTCTCTGCGTATTTTAGGATTATAAAAATATCTAGTTAAGTTGGATCGTTCCTTGGATTGCCAAAACCTCAGTTCCCCTACCTTATCGAATCTATATGAAGCTTTTCGATTCTTTTGTTGTTAGTATATGTGGGAACACAAAATATTGTCCTTGTTTCAGCCGCAGCTGCATCATATATCCAATAAATAAGTTCATAGGTTACATTCTCGTCAAGTCTTTGTGGTAATATGCTTAGAATCCTCGTCTCTCTCAGGGATGTTTTGTTCTAGGTTTTAATTTTGAATTGCTTGCTCGTCTGCTTATAGCTGGATGCAATTTCAGGTTAGTGAGCCGGAAAAGTGGGGATATTCAACTGATTGGAAGAAAGTGACGGTTCACTTTTTTGGAACACAACAGATGTGAGTTCTCCTCCCTTTACCTCGACCTTCTCTATTATCTATTTACTTACGGCCGGTCGTAGTCTGTGGCTGAATGCTGTGATTGTGATTTGAATGTTTGTTCTTTTTGTCACTATGGTTTCCCTTCTCACATGAATTCACTTTATTGCAATCGCATCCTTTAGATTGTTGGAATAGTTTATTTATGCTCTCCTTTGAAAACTATTCTCATTCTGCTAGGTTGAACAGAAAATATTGTTGACAGCAGCACAGCTGTGCAAGAACCAAATTTGATTGATGAACTGAAAAAATGGAGATGTAGACTGCCAAGTGCTCGCTTTCTGCGTTAACCTCAATATCAGTGAGAATTATTCTTGTGTGTAACCATATGGAGTTGGTGACATTTTGCTGTTATTTTATATGTGCAGAGCTTTCTGCAGTCCTGCCGATGTTGAAGCATTTACAGAGGAGAAGAAGCAATCACTTTTGACGAAACGCCATGCGAAAGGTTCAGATTTTGTTCGTGCTGTGAAGGAGATTATAGAGAGTTATGAGAAGCTGAAGCAGGAAGAGCCAGCTGGTAATCTCAAATCTGCTGACGAAGCCACTCTTGGGAATGCTGGGAGTATTACACTAATGCCTCAGGTCAGTGATCAAACTGAGACTAGTCTCCACACGCAAATGAGGTCTGATCCTAGTCACGGTAGAGACGAATCTACTCTGCTAAATGAGGATGCTTCAGCTGCTGAACAAATGTTGGCCCTGCGTGATAACAGTGTATCACATAACAAAGCCTGTGATAGTGCAGTTGTTAGAGAACCACGTAAGATAGCAACATATTCTTCAAGGAGAAGAAATGGAGGGGCAGGACCTCAAAAGTGTGCTCCACAAAAAAAGATATGTTCGGTTCAGCGCTCTAAAAGTTCGCCTAGGTTGCAATCAGATAAGCTTCACAGCTCCATGTTGCAATACAGTGATGGTGGACAGAATATTGATATCGTGGAAGATGGAGCATTGAGAAGGAGAAAAAGGATCAGAAGATCATCAGGTCATTCTGAATCAGATGATGTGGCTTCATCAGCTTTAAATTTGCATGGAAGTGACGAAGAAAATGCCTCTGAAATTGCGAGGGATGACTCAGTTAATAATACTAGGAATGAAAGCGACGGGATAGATTCTGCTTCCAAAGTCGACTGTTCTGATACTGGTGGACAGTTTCTCGAAGGAGATTATGACATCAACAAAGGGCTTAATTTCCAAATTAATTCAATGGTTAAGAGAAAGAAGAGAAAGCCTACCAGGAAACGTGGAACTAGTGATGTTGTTGATCCTCGGGTTAAAGTTGAACCAGAAGCAGTTCTTGAGGCTGTAGCACGTGAAAACGTTCAGGCATCACAAAATTCTGATGAAAGGTTAACTGAGAGGCTTTGTGAAGAGAATGGTGATGAGCACTTGCCTCTGGTGAAACGAGCCAGAGTCAGGATGAGTAGAGCATTTTATGGTGATCATGAGCCAAATTGCTCTTCGCAGGCTGAAGAAAGATCATCCAAGGATACTCTGATCAGTGCAACAGCACAGACAAGCCCGTCTGATATCGTTTCTAGTCATGATACTTCTGCCGGCGGAGAATCTAAATTTTTTGAGGTATCTGCTAAGCGCTCAGGTGATATGGAGAACGGATTGCCGCCATCTGAGGCTTGCGTTCAGAATGTGGGCGATAGAGAACATGCTTTTGTGTGGAATGAGCTTAGCAAGGCACCCGTTGAAGAAACAGCTCGACCCCAGTCTAACCAAGTTAGCAGTTTTCCAGCCGACGAGGCTCAGACAGCTAGTGTTCCTGAAGCCGTGTGCTCTGGGGATTTACAACCCATGAAGCTGCCAACTAGTGAGTCTGATCTTCTAGCTGTACAATGCTTACGTCAAGTTTCTGAAACTGGAACCCTCTTGGATGCCAATACTGAGGATTCATCTGAAAACAAGACTTCTGGGATATGCTCATTAGATATACGGATACCTCAAATATCTGGCGAGCGCAGTAGCCAGGACCAAGTTGCTTGTGATTCATTGGACAATTTTCGTGAACCTCTGAATGTAGAAGGGGAAAGAAATGGTGTTTGTGTGGCTCAGATTGGTCAGCCGGAAGCTTTTGAACATTCTCCATCCTCCTGTTTAATGGTTAATAAGCAGGAGACTGAGAACATGCAAAAGGCTGAAAACATGGTGCTGAAAGAAGAGCTTGGAAGTCTGGGTAAAGAATATGTTAAGGTCAAACCAACTCAGACTACACCAAATCTACCCATCTCCGCAGCTGAAAGTGATGTGATAGTTGATGAAAGTGAACCTCTAAATGAAACAGGGTATAGCAAATGTGAGGACGCTGCTAAGAACAGTAGGCAGCTCGAAATAATGTAAGTGGCTTTTGTTAGAATTTCTATGCTGTCCCTCTCTCTCTCTCTCTCTGCTTCTTCTCGTAAATATTTTCTTTTAATGCCTCTCTATTGTTAGTATTTCCAGTCCTTCTCAAGTTTTCGTGAATATGTTATTGTATTGTAGTTAGAATTATTTTGAAATTCTGACAGGTTCAGTCCTTAGTATTTTGTTACCTTTTATTATAATTTATTTAAATTCTCGGTACCTTTTCCCTTAATGGTTGTTCCTTTTAAGTATTTTGAAATTCCTATTATGATTTGGCTGTTATGTAAACAAAAGATATATGTAGAAGATAGGCTTGTATGCAGCCACCAGATAGATTCAGTTTTTGTTATCCTAAATTTTTTCTGAGTTCCAGTGTCAAGTGCAAAACTCTTCACTACATAATTAGTTGACTAACAAGAGTTTGTACTCGTGTGCTTTTGCAGCGGTGAGGCTGAAAATCAAAAGCAGGAGGTCCAAACCAACAATTCTGTCTCTGTATCTGAGAACGTTTCACGTGAAAAAATGAGTTTATCTCCTGCTAATATTGCAGACACTCCGGCAAGGGGGACTCCACATAGCAACTCAGTTTACCATATTTCAACCGCTGAAAGTGCAAATGATATGCAGAACAACAGTAGTTGCAGCCCAAATGTTCAGTCTGATGAGAAGAAAACTGTTTGTGATGCCATGGTCAAAGAAGAAGAGAAAATTGTAACAGGTGTATGTCAGGGACAGAAAGTTGTTAGTCCTGATGTGCAATCCACTCGCGAATCTTTTGAGGATGCACTTAGTTCATTGGTGAGGACAAAGGAGAGTATTGGCCGAGCAACTCGTTTGGCTATGGACTTGATGAAATTTGGTGTTTCTGCAAAGGTAGAATTTATTATTTCCTGTGATTTTTGATTACCCGTTAGTTGCTGCAAGTCATGTAGAGGGTCAACATTTTCGGATTTCGAATTAGACGTCCTTCCTCCTTACTTACGGTGTTGCAGTATCCGTTGTTATAACTCTTGATGAACTTTCTGAACTAGGCGATGGAGATTTTGGCCCATACTTTGGAAAGTGAGTCAAATTTACAGAGGAGGGTGGACTTATTTTTCCTTGTGGATTCTATTGCTCAATGCTCTAAAGGTCTGAAAGGTAAGCTATATATTGCAATGTTTCTTGTTAAGCTGCATCAGCAAAGTTCTAACAGTGGAAATGACCATGAATACTGCCCATAATTTCAGGTGATGCTGGTTGTGTTTATCTTTCAGCCATTCAAGTAATTTTACCTCGCCTACTGGCTGCTGCTGTACCTGCTGGAGCTACCACACAAGAAAATCGGAGACAGTGCTTAAAGGTGTGCAACAAAATTTGTTAGCTCATTTGTATCGTTATTGTTTCTCAAGCTTTCTGCTATTTATAGGTTTTGAGGCTTTGGCTTGAAAGACGGATCCTGCCTGAATCTATTGTTCGTCACCATATAAGAGAACTTGATTCACATAATATAGTTCCTGCTTGCCTCTATTCTCGGCGCTCAGCTCGAACAGAAAGGTCGTTGGATGATCCTGTGAGAGATATGGAGGGTATGCTGGTGGATGAATATGGAAGGTTAGATTTTGGTCTTTTTAATCTACATCTGTGTCCTGTCTCCCGATTTGTTTACCTAATTCATCTTTGCATGTCAGTAATTCAACTCTCCAGCTCCCTGGATTTTGCATGCCCGCAATGCTTAAGGATGAAGACGAAGATAGTGACTCGGATGGAGGGGATTTCGAGTCTGTTACCCCTGAACACGAGTCCAGAATTCTTGAAGAAAATGTCTCGTCCTCCACTGCTGAAAGGCATACGCTTATATTGGAAGATGTGGATGGCGAGCTTGAAATGGAAGATGTGGCACCGCCTTGGGAAAGTGGGAACTGCACACACACTGATCAAGCTGATAATAGAACAAAGGCTACCAATTTTCAGCTTCGACAACAGCATCAGCCTATCTCTGGCACTTCACATCAGCATGTGTCCTTGTCTTCTCCTCCACTGCCATCTTCCTCGCCTCCCCCTTCACAGCAGGCTCAGTGTGCCATGTCTGATACCTACTCAAATGGCTTTGACAGTGGTGGATATCCCAACATGCATGTGCGTCCCTTTTCTTGTTTTAGAATCCTTGTACAATGAACATGATAATAATTCTTGATATGGTATCCTATTTTGTCTGCTTAATATGCAGGTAGATCATCAGGCTTGTCCTCCAAGGATGAACCCGCCACTGCCTGGAAATACAATGCATTATCAAGGTCCAGAGTCATCTTATAGTTCCGGTGTACAACTACCAAATAGCATGCCACAGGCAGATGGTTCTAATTTCCAGCATAGGCCTTATCCATCTCATCCACATCCTCCTCCCCCTCCACCACAGCATCAATACTCATATACAGAGCCGGGCCACCATATGAAGTCGCGTAGGGATGGTCCATCGTACTCCCACAGATCTCATTATGTGCCAAGTTTTGATGAAAGGAATTTTCATGATAACCATGACCATGAGAGAATGAGGCATGCACCATATGAGAACCGAGATAATTGGAGATATCAACCATCTTCTTCTTCTTCTTATGGTTAGACCATATACCTCCATGCCTGTGTTAAATTAGACATGTATATGTGCGCACACAGATGTATGCTAACAGTTGTTGATGCTTTCGATTGATGGTCATGTCGCAGGTTCAAGATATCAAGATAAACACAAAGGCCCTCATCCATCCAGTTCATACAATGGTGGCCCTCCACGTGAGTCTGGAAGGTTCCAAAGTCACCGGTGGAATCATCATCCTCGTCCGTATAACGACAGGCACTCTTTTCACCCTTAGCCGCATTCTGAAGGACCTGTTCCAGTTGGAATGAGAGGTAAGGAAGTTTGAGACCTTTATGCTCCTTGGCCTCTAAGTAATTTTCTGTTATCTAGAAATCCACTCTTTAGGGTGAACACCCTTAAGAGACATGAAATGACAATGATTTATTCCTCTTGTGAGCCATACGCATCATTCTTTTTGCTTGGATTGTGTCGGTGTGTCCTAGGATATGATTAATAAGCAATGATATTTTGTTATTAGTGGAATCGTAGTATAAGTCTCTTGTGACATATGGGGTTTAATGATAAAGGAGAAGATTTATATGCAATAAACACGAGCATCTTTTGTTGATTTGCAGATCCTGGCATGTGGCAACAAAGAGGTGACTAGAGAAACTTGAGAGAGATGGAAAGTAGTAAAGAGGAGGGTGGTGTGGAGCAAAAAGCAAAAACACCGAGGAGAATGGCCAATAATGGAAGTAGGGATGAAATAGTGATATGATGAAGAAGTGAGAGTGTACATATGATGTGATGTTTCTTTGGGTATCAGAACCTCGTGCAAAGCAGAGAGTGAGAAGATGGTAAAAAAAGAAGAAGCCAATTTGTAGAGATTGAGAAGAGTTTAAGCATCTTTTCTGCTCTCCTTTGCCTCTTTATTGTTTTTTCTTTTTGTCAACATTATTTGGTTATGTGGGTTTTGACCTTGGAGTGTATGATGTATATTCATCTGTTAGAATATAATATTCCAGTTGATGCCTGTTTTTCTGTCTTTCTCATGCTATTTTTGAAATGGGTAGAGACTTCCATATATAGTACAGAGACTTGCACCTCTTGGATTGTTTCTAAAAAAAGACCTCAATTCATGTGATTGCTTTCAGTTACCATATAAGTGTTTGCCAAGTAAAAAGAGGGAGAAGCAAAGTCCACAGGAACGCGCGGAAAAAGGTCAGAAGGTCAATGAAAGTAAAATAAAAGGTTGTTCCTTGCTTTTGCTCCTGAGAGAGTCTTTTACTTTTCATTGGGAGAGAGAGAGAGAGATGGGTGCTTCTGTTTCGGTTCCAGAGAGCTCCGTTCATCAATTCACCGTAAAGGTATCTTTTTTGCATAAGCTAGATGAGGTTAAATTGTCTTTTTATTATTTTTGATTATTTATTTCTTGTTGTTTCTTGGGAATCATCACTCAGGATAGCTCCGGCAAGGACGTGAATTTGAGCATTTACCAAGGGAAAGTGCTCCTCCTTGTCAATGTCGCTTCCAAATGGTTCGTCTCTTTGCCTCTTTCACGGATTACGCTTTCTTATTAATGGCTAATCCGTGTTGGTCTGTCTAAACAGCGGTTTCACCGAATCCAATTACACCCAGCTCACCGAACTTTACCGGAAATACAAGGACCAAAGTCTTTATATAGTATAGATTTTTTGTTATGCATTTGCAAGCTCATCATCATACAATACATGCACCTTTTTGAAAGAAAGAAAATCATTTGATTTCCCCCCACCCCACATTATATCAGGGTTTGAGATCTTGGCATTCCCTTGCAACCAGTTTCTGTACCAGGAGCCTGGCACAAGTCAAGAAGCCCATGAATTTGCTTGTACACGCTTTCAGGCCGAATACCCTGTTTTCCAAAAGGTATGTAAGGCTTTAAAAATATAATCTTTCTTTATTCTAGTTGATTAGCGCAGATCAAGAAGCTTACAGTGAGTTACTACTATACCTCCTCAAATTTTATCCATCTTGATCTGTTTGGTAGATATGGGTAGCTGTTGTACTTGTATGTTTAGACCAAATGTAACAAGAAATCAATGTGTGGTGCTTCTTCAACCCTTACGTACCAGTTGATTATTTTTAATATATATAACCAAGTGTGAATCTGGGATTAGGTACGTGTAAACGGTCAAAACGCAGCACCAGTATACAAATTTCTTAAGGCAAGTAAACCCACCTTTCTGGGTTCCAGAATTAAGTGGAACTTCACCAAGTTCTTGGTCGGCAAAGATGGCCTTGTCATTGATCGTTACGGCCCCATGGTTACACCGCTATCAATCGAGGTATGCATTCTTTACGTATCCAAACCCTATATATTGTCATCGTCGTGATCCTGAATTATGTTTCATGTGAGCAGAAAGATATCAAGAAAGCTCTTGAAGAGGCTTGAAACATCATACGGCATTGCATTTTGTCTCAAAGTACCAACTTTAATTATGCAACATCAATCGTAGTTATTTTCAATCCAATGTAAAATTTCTTTAAATCCAAAAAACTTTTTGCGTTATTTGAAAGGAGGAGAATCTCAATAGGAAAAGTCTAGTTTCTTTCTTGCCATGTAGTTATTACGATGGTCGAGAGACAAGTCCCTTTTCTCATCGTATATGTTGTAGTTTTTTTTTGTCATCCTGAAATATATACAGCAAGTGAGAAACGGTGAAAATCACGAAAGAACAAGGTCCTCTCTGCAACTGTACGAAAAGATTATATAGGATATGGACTTATTGAGAACCAAAAACTACCAAACAACTACTTCCCATAAAACTTTACAAAGGTATGATCATCCGCTTAGAGAAAGCTGAATTCTCCGAAAAAACTTTACTAAACAATAAAACATGTGTTCAAAGTGATTGCTAACTTTTTTTCGATCGTTTGTAAATGGGTCTCTAAGGAAACCTATTAGCATATCTTTACCACGCCAACTGGTCGAAAGATTTAGTATTCACTCTGCATCTATTTATTCATTATTTTGGAAAACTTTCAAAATATAGTTTAGTGTTCACTTTCAAGGTAAAGTGAAAATAAATTGATCTAACAATTTTTCATAGGAAAATAGTATCTAAGAAACACTAATAACAGATTATTTCATTTTTTTCAAAATTTGTCAAAATTCGCTAGCCCACAAATATGGGCAAAACTAATGAATTTTGAGATTTTTCACTCTGCATCTATTTATTCATTATTTTGGAAAACTTTCAAAATATAGTTTAGTGTTCACTTTCAAGGTAAAGTGAAAATAAATTGATCCAACAATTTTTCATAGGAAAATAGTATCTAAGAAACACTAATAACAGATTATTTCATTTTTTTCAAAATTTGTCAAAATTCGCTAGCCCACAAATATGGGCAAAACTAATGAATTTTGAGATTTTTCTGGAAGGTGTCTAAAGTGAAAATAAATTGATCCAACCATTTTTCATAGTAAAATAGTATCTAAAAAAGACTAATAACATATTATTCCAATTTTTCCAAAATTTTCAAAACTTGTAGGTGTTAGCCCACAAATATTGGCAAAATTGATAAATTTTGAGGTTTTTCTAAATTAATGATTGGAAGGTGTATAAATTGAAAATAAATTGTTCAAACTATTTTTTATAGTAAAAGAGTATGTAAGAAAGACTAATAATATATGGTTGACCAAAAAAAAGAAAGACTAATAACATATTATTCCATTTTTTCAAAATTTGTCAAAAATCGTAAGTGTTAGCCCACAAATATTGGCAAAATTAATGAAGTTTGAGATTTTTCTAAATTAATAATTGGAAGATCTCTAAAGTGAAAATAAATTGATCCAACCATTTTTCATAGGAAATGAGTATCTTAGAAAGACTTATAACATATTATTCCAATTTTTTTGAAAATTTGTCAAAAATCGTAGATGTTAGCCCACAAATATTGACAAAATAGATAAATGTTGAGATTTTTCTAAATTAATGATTGGAAGGTGTCTAAAGTAAAAATAAATTGATCCAACCATTTTTCATAGTAAAATAGTATCTAAGAAAGACTAATAACAATATTATTCCATTTTTTTCAAAATTTGTCAAAACTCGTAGGTGTTAGCCCACAAATATGGGTAAAATTAATAAATTTTGAGATTTTCTAAATTAATGATCGGAAGGTGTCTAAAGTGAAAATAAATTGATCCAACCATTTTTTATAGTAAAAGAGTATCTAAGAAAGACAATTTATTTCAATTTTTTCAAAATTTGTCAAAACTCGTAGGTGTTAGCCCACAAATATTGGCAAAATTGATAAATTTTGAGGGTTTTCTAAATTAATGACTTGAAGGTGCATAAAGTGAAAATAAACTGATCCAACCATTTTTTCATAAGAAAATAGTATATAAGAAAGACTAATAACACATGATTCCAATTTTTTCAAAATTTGTCAAAACTCGTAGGTGTTAGCTCACAAATATTGGCAAAATTGATAAATTTTGAGGTTTTCTAAATTAATGATTAGATGGTGTCTAAAGTGAAAATAAATTGATCCTAACCATTTTTCATAGGAAAAGAGTATCTAATAAAGACTAAAAACATATTATTATTTTTTTCAAAAAGTGTCAAAACTCATAGGTGTTAGCCCACAAATATTGGCAGAATTGATATATTTTGAGATTTTTCTAAATTAATGATTGGAAGGTTTCTAAAATGAAAATAAATTGATTCAACCATTTTTCATAGTAAAATAGTATCTAATAAAGATTAATAAAAAATTATTCGATTTTTTTCAAAATTTTTGTCAAAACTCGTAGTTAGCCCAGAAATATTAGCAAAATTATAACATTTTGGGGTTTTTCTATATTAATGATTGGAATGTGTCTAAAGTGAAAATAAATTGATCCAATCATTTTTCATAGTAAAATGGTATTTAAGAAAGACTAATAACACATTATTCCAATTTTTTCAAAATTTGTCAAAACTCGTAGGTGTTAGCCCACAAATATTGGAAAAAATTATAGAGGTTTTTCTAAATTAATGATTGGAAGATGTCTAAAAGTGAAAATAAATTGATCCAACTATTTTTCAACTATAAATTGATGTCTAAAACTCGTAGGTGTTAGCCTATAATGATTGGAAGGTGTCTAAAGTGAAAATATTGGCAAAATTGATAAATTTTGAGGTTTTTTCTAAATTAATGATTGAAATGTGTCTAAAGTGAAAATAAATTGATACAACCCTTTTTCATAGGAAAAGAGTATCTAAGAAAGACTAATAACATATTATTCAATTCAAAGTTTGAACAAAAAAAATAAAATATATTATTCAATTATTTTCAAAATTTGTCTAAACTCGTAGGTGGTAGCCTATAAATATTGGCAAATTAGATGAATTTTGAGGGTTTTCTATATTAATGATTGGAAGGTGTCTAAAGTGAAAATAAATTGATCCAACCAACCTCTACCATATATGCTCAACCAAATCCTTTTTCATTGTTACATTTTTCTATCACTAAGAAGAAAACTAATATTGTGGGTCTTTCTTTGCAGTAGATACTTACTTTACCTTCAAAGCTAAACTTTTTTTGTTTTTCCTTTTTGCTCTTAGACTACAGCAGCAGTAAGATAATTAAAGACCATCACATAACGGTTGCAGTAGTTATACAAAAGAGTTAATAATATGATCTACATAATCTTACACCAATGAGCGAAAATGCACATAATAGTATTATGATAATACTGCAGTCATCTCAGAAGTCATAATTCATATCTCGGCCTAATAACATCTTCATGAGCTACCAAAAGAGCAGGGCATGGCTATTGGCATGAAAGTGAAGAAACCTCCAGCTCTAAGTCCAGTGGCATGACAGAAACTTCTCCACCCTCGCGTGATATACATTGTTCCACCCTTGGAAGATTCTGAAAATTCACTACAATTCAACATGATTTTGGTATAGTTCAGACCTTTGTATAAGAGTTATTTTCTTTCTATTTGTTCAAAATTAGGAGTAGCATACCAGTGAGTCATAACGTAGGGTCAGAGGCGAGACATTAGCCACAAAACAAGAAGGATATAGTGAAGAAGACTCTGTTTCTTCTCTTGAATTCTTTTCACTTTCTTCTTTAGGTAACAGAAATATCTAAAGAAGGAAAAGAGGAAAATAGTAAAAAAAGAATGTAGTTACAGAGTTTGAGACTGTAACAAAGTTACTTGAGCACAGAACATGACCGACATATCCGAATTGAGACTGATACGACAGAGTGTAAACTTTGTGATTTGCCAAGACATCACAAAACGCATAGATCCTTGACAAGGCACGAGTCTAATAACCGTTGTCACACCATATAAAATTTCAACTATACCCTTCTTGATATCAATTCGAACTTATTTTTCCACCACAGTAACTAAACTTTCTCTCTCTCTCTCTCTCTCCTCTATTCTCTCTCTCATGTATCCTTCAAGAAAGCTTCTTGTTCTCTTCTTTGCATCGATATCTCTTTCCATGGCGAAACCAACCTTCGTATCTCTGCCGATAATGTCAATTTCGCATTCAAATCCCTTACGATTCGAAATCTCACGTTCCTCGGCGATTCCCATCTCCGAAATGGCGTCGTCGGACTCACGAGAGAGCTCCGCGTTCCCCCGGCACGGTCATCTACAACACACCGATCCGGATTCGAACACCACGGCGTCTTTCTTCACACACTTCTCCTTCTCCGTCCAAAACGTGAACCCAGATTCCTCCGGCGACGGGCTCTCTTTCTTCCTCTCCCACGACAACGATACTCTAGGAAGTCCCGGAAGTTACCTGGGTCTCGTCAATTCCTCTCAGCCGATGAAGAATCGCTTCGTCGCAATCGAATTCAACACC